CTCTTCACATTAGAGCCCCCTTTACATCAGGAGCTGTCCTTTACATCAGATCCCCTTTATGTATTTTCATTCTTACAGGTATTTATATAGTGCCAACAATTTACACAACCCTTTACAAAATGCACATTCACATCAGTCCCTGCACTCAAGGAGCTTACACTCTAAGGTCCCTACCTCACATGCATATACACACACATAGACTAGGGCTAATTTAGACAGGAGACAATTAACCCAGCAGCATGTCTTTGGAGCATGCGAGGAAACCGAGGCTCCTGGAGGAAACACACACAATCAAAGGGAGAACATGCAAACTCCATGCAGATAGTGTCCTGACTGGGATTGAAACCGGAGGGACCAGAGCGTCCCAAGTTGCTAAGAGCTCTTAGCAACCTGTGAAGCTGTTGCTGGCGTCCCGCCCAGCTCACTGACATCACTGGTTTTCAGTAGTTGAGCGTTACGCTCTGGCTGGCGTCCCGCCCATCTCACTGACATCACTGGTCGCCAGAAGCTGACCGTTACATTCTGGCTGGCGTCCTGCCCAGCTCCTGCCAACCAATGATGTCAGTGAACTGTGATGGTTACATGCACCACCATCCCACCGCCTTAGGTTGCGAAAAGTGTAGGGACATCCCTGTATTAGGCCGCCATGGTTGTTATGCTACAAAATTCTGATTAGCTACATTGCCTCTAATGATTTTATTTATGGTTATTGATCACCTGATCTGGATATTGGATATTGACCACCATCTGATGTTGAGCTTCAGGCAAACTTGGTTTTAAAAGCCCAAGTCAACACTCAAGCCATTTTTTAGGGTTGGGTGGAGTGTTTAGGTGAGACTTTTACTGCTGTCTTTGTTTATGTTGAGTAGAGTTCCCTTCTTTTCCTGTTCTGTTGACATCCTTTGACACATTGTTTGTGCCCCCGCTGGAGATACTTCCCCTCAATTCCTGTCCTGGTTCCAGTGGGACAGAAAGTAAGAGGACATTTCCTTAGAGAAGACACAGATAGCAATGAAAGAAAATGTTTTAGCTGGATTTAGACTTTAGGGCCCATTTGCATCTGAACACGTGTGTTGCTCGTCCCCATCCATTCTCTGTGTGTCCTCAATGTGTGACCATGCACCAACATGATCATACCGAACCGGTGTCTGCTTATGTATAAACAATCTGTTGAGTCGGGCGACTTGATTCATGCATGGATGTGCATTTGGGGCCCATAAAAAATAAATTGTCAAACACCCAATATGCATGTGCGAGCGCAAGCGGTGCAACAAACATCTATGTGCTTTACAACTTGTGGCAACACACAAATAAAAGGTTGAACATGCTCTTTAACACTGAGGACAAAGTCTTTCTTTTTTATGATCTTGGTGATATTTTTTTTTGTCTGCTTTTGCATGTAGTTGCTGTGCTAGGTAAACACTTAAGCACGTTGGTATCTTTATTTTCTGAATGGCAGAGAGTGAGAAATTGCAGGGCAGTGTGTTCCCAGGTTCCAGCCTCTACCCTATCTCATGCTGCCCATACACTGGCCAAATTCAAGCAGGGTGAATCAGCACCGTTCATCAAAAGTTGATTTTTTTGGTTGACTTTGGTTGAAAGGCCTGGTCCAAAAATTCTTAGCTGAACAGTGACTTTAGCCAATCCGATGTACTGTATGGGTAAACTGGCAGCCGCACACCTGCCGCTGTCAGAGTATTATAGTGAGAGGGGAATTCCCCCATCCACATTTTTTAGTGTGGCTATCCTCACTAAATCAAGTGTTTTTTCTCGCTTAGCCCATACATCTCTCCGGTTGATAAAGCAGTTGAACTTTGGATTCCATATTTTGTAGAAATCACAGAGCTCATAATTGAAGGGCCAGGAGGCAGCCTGAGGTGGTTGCCTCAGGCAAAATCTCATTGGGTCACCTGCGGCCCACTTTCCGGACACTCTGTTTAGTGCCCTGCCCAGCTCCTGGCAACCAGTGATGTCAGTGAGCCTCAGCCTCCCCTTCCCGGTAACGTG